GTCAATGAGGATGAAGATGTGCAAAGAGAAAGACTTAGAACCACAACTGCCCTGACCACTTCAAACACTGATGAGGTAGAAAAACAAGGGACAAAATCAACGTGAACGAAAATGTTTGAGAACTGTCAAGATCTGCTCATTTTCATTTGGTCAAGATCTGTCAGTTTTCATTTTGAAACTAATCCTTAAATATACAAACACCTCTTTGGAACTGCACTGAATCTTTATCCAGAGAAGAACATAAAACATGATTTTATTTTCTTTTTGAGGAAAGTAGATTTTGAAAGTAGAGCTATAATTTCAAAACCAAATAAGACCTTATGAGTTGAAGAGTGTAAGTGAGATTTGTTATAAAATTCTAAGTAGAAAATATCATTCCAAGGGTACCTTTTTATTTGCCTGAGATGCTGTGATGTTTCCATGAGCTTAGCCACTTCTGTGCTGGGAAGATAGTGTATTGGCTTCCATGAAACTGTGCTGTCTTCCCAGTTCATTGAGAAGCATGAAGTACTGTTTACATTAATGGGTACATATTACATTTGAAACTATCACTATGGATTACCCTTAACACCAGATATGGTTTGGTTCATGACATAGGAGAGAAAAGAGTCCAGCAAGGAGAACATAGGAACATGAAATCTCTGAAGTTTAAGAGGAAAATTATGCTGTCATCTATTCCAGAAACCAGTCATAATTGCAAGCTGTTTACACAAAGAATATGCAGGCCAGAAGAAATGCTGCTGTTTTTCCAAGAGAAAGAAGAAAATAGCCACAAGAAATATCTCCTTCTGCATTAAAGAAGGTTTGCAACAATGACTTTTCTTTTCACCATTATTTTTAGAAAGGCACACTGAACATCTGTTATGTTTTAGGCACTGTTCCACTTCACACATTCACTAAACATATAGTGTACAGTGTTCCAAGGTCTGTTTCAGTCCCTGGACATACAGTTATGAAGGAGTTAGGCAACATCCCTGTCCTCATGGTCCTTGCAGGGGGTCCATAAACAAAAATAACTTCTCAAAAAAAGTATCAGATATTACATAAGTCCTATGTGGGACATTAAAATATGTGAAATGAAGGGAGTGAACGGGGGCTGCATTTGGTTAGATGGCCAGGCAAGACCTCACTTGAGGAGCAACATTTAAGCCAATGTCTGTGTGTCAGGAAGCTGCCAGCTATGCCATCATTAATAGATAAGACTTTTCCCAACAGTGGAAACAGTGAGTACAGGGACTCAGACATGGAAACTCATTTGGCCTGGTTGAGGCACCACCAAGGATCAGTAGGTGCATCCATTCATGGAAGGAAGGAGTTCAAAGAGGTCGATGGGGGCCAGATTATGTACAATGGAGTTCATGTTTTAAACCAACTTGGTGAAAAGCATCAGAGGCTTTTTAGCAGGCTTGTGTCATTATTTAATGCATGCTTTGGAAAGATTACACTGGTTCTTGTTTGTTCATCACTGTGGAGGAAGGGCAAATTAAGAAGCTTTTTATCGATTTAGATGAACTGTGATGATGGTTTGGACACAGGTGGTAGAATGTGAGACGGGCAAAATGTCTTTGACTTCTCAGGTTTAGGAACCATTTACACATGTGCTTAGCACAGGAGCAATTCATTATGGAAGATAATTTGGATCCTTTTTAACTCAAACAAATATGCTGAAAATGCACGGCAGATATATTGACATAGAATCTATAAGCTTTCCAATAATATTTTATATAATACAGGAGTTAAAGAATATGGTTTGGTGACATGAATTATATATATATATATATATATATATATATATATACACACACACACACACACTATATATAATAAATTTCAAAATGATAATAACTGGTGAGAGGTGCAAATATTTCAGGTTTTATCGAAGAAACAACTTTATGTTAATATGTAACTTCCATTATTTACAGTCAGTGATTCTTTCAGGTGAAATTTTGGGATTGCTAGGACCCAATGGCGCTGGTAAAAGTTCATCTATTAGGATGATAGCTGGGATCACAAAGCCAACGGCTGGAAAGGTAATGAGAAATGAAGGAATAGTTCAGTTGTATATTTATAAAACTATACTCGTATATGGGAGTCCCTGGAGGTGAAAATGGTTAACATTTTCAGCTACTAACTGAAAGGCTGGAGGTTCACATCCACCCAGATGCTACTTGGAAAGAAGGTCTGGCAATCTACTTCCAAAATATCAGCCACTGAAAACCCTAGGAAGAGCAGTTCCACTCTGAAATACATGGAGTTGTCGTGTGTCAGAATTGACTGTGGCCACTGGAATATTTATACAGTTGACCTTTGAGCAATGTGGGGGCTGGCGTGCTGGCCCCCTGCACAGATGAAAATCCACATATAACTTCTGACTCCCCAAAACTTAACTACTAATAGCTTACTGTTGACCAGAAGCCTTACTGATAACATAAACAGTCTATTAACACAGTTCTCCCAGCACAGTTATGAGATTTTCACATAGACATGCACACACACACAAAACAACTAAGTTTATTAACTGCATGACATGACAAGTATTCACTATTCATTAAATGGAAGTGGAGCAGCATCATGAAGGCCTTCATCCTCACTGTCTTCATATTGTGTAGGCAGAGGAGGAGGAGGAGGGAAGGAGGGCTTGATTGTGCTGTCTTAGGGCTGCCAGAGGTGGAGGAGGTAGGGATGGCAGGAGAGGCAGGTCCACTTGGAACTTTATGGAAATACGTCGTAATTTCTGCCTGACATTTTTTTTTTTCCATTTCTCTAAAATTGCTTCTATAAGGTACCAATCCTTCTACCACTTGCTTTAGTTTCATGCCATTTATAGAATAGTCCAGATCATGTCATAAAAGAAATCAAAGGCAGTCAGATTGCTTAATGTCAATTTGTTTTCTGACACTGCTTCTTCCGCATCCTCTTCTTCATTGTCTAGCACTGTTCAGAAGCACTCATCTCCAGCAAGCTATCTTCTTTTAATTCCTCTGGTGTGGTGTCTATTAGCTCTTGGATTTCTCCCAGATCCACATTTTGAAAAAATCCACATATCAGTGGACCTGCCCGGTTCAAACCCATATTGTTCAAGGGTCAACTGTATATTAGTAGTATAAATGGTTTTCTATAACAAGTGTATAAAGTATTTTCTCAAATATTTATTTGACGCTCCCAACAATCCAGCCATTTATTATTATATGTTAGTTTCTTGAGTAATTGTGCAATTGAAGAAAAAGCTACACATTTCCAAAACCATTTGACTCTTTCAGGTGGAGCTGAAGGGATCCAGTTCTGTTTGGAGTCACCAGGAAGACAATGCAATCAAGTTTCTGGGGTACTGTCCTCAGGAGAATGCGCTGTGGCCCAACTTGACGGTGAGGGAGCATCTGGAGGTGTATGCGGCTGTGAAAGGGCTGAGGAGAGAGGACGCCAAAGCCGCCATCACAGGGTACAGAGCCAAGTCACGGGTTTGCTTTGGGTCAAGGGTTAGGGTGAAACTCACTAATAAAGAATGGAGACTAGAAATGACACCGTCAACCTTCTGGAGAGTATCAGAGGTAAGGCAGGAATAGGGAGCAAGACCTCATCTTGCACATCCCTGAACAAGGGGTCTTTAAAAAATAATCATATAAAGTTATTGACTGTGAATAAGTTATGAAAACTGTCCATTTCTGTTTCTAATTCACTATTCTGATTTTTCTTAAAGAATTTGTAAGAGGTGAAACATCTTTATATTCCAAAATAACCTGATTTTTTTCTTTTATCCTTAGAGTTTTGAGATTCGTAGTGCAAGCTTTTCTCTTGCACTACTTAAAAACAATAAGACTTTGAGAAAGAGATCAACTATGTATTAAGAATGAGAAAAAAAGAAAGAAAGAAAGAGATGTTTGCAAATAAGCAGTCAGTTGCATATGAACTCCACAATGGCAAAACAGCTTTTGCTTATATGCCATTTACAGTCTTGTGACGTGCAGTTGGTTCTTTGAGGATACATGCCAGCACAGAAGAACAAGTCCCACGGAATACAAAAAATCTTAGGAAAGAGAAACTTTTAGGCTAAACTTGTACCATCTACGACTTCGAAGTGAGCAAGCTCCTTGGGAAACAAGGGTATTCTTTTGTGTTTAGTGGGGGTGGAGAGAACGGTAAAAAATACACACAGCAAAGCACACCGATTCTACAATTTTCTACACGTACAATTCAGTTACACTGAGTGCATTCTTCAAGTTGTGCGACCATTCTCCTTATCCTTTTCCAAATTATTCTAACACCATTAAGATAAACCTACTGGCAGCTTCAGGTCTAGCTTCTGCTGGGCCAGGCTAGGCAGTGGTTAGAGATGGGTGTGAGTGAGGGTCTTGCCTGCCAGAAGGGCCGTTCCTGAGGATTCCTGAGGCTGATTTGAGGAGTAGAGTTAGTGGCGCGACACCGGATGTCCTGTAGCATTGTCCAGGTTTCTAGGGGATTGTGTGACGTTTGCATCTCGGGGGCTGTTACTCTTCAGCATGCTTCCACTTGCCAACAATCTCTGCTCGACATCGCACTCCCTTCCTTTTTTCCATCAGATTAGTGGAAGATTTCAAGCTGCGGGATCTGCTGGCTGTTCCAGTGCAGAAATTAACAGCAGGAAGCAGTAGGATGGTATGTGTGGCGTGTGGTGGTGTCCATGGGCTGGCGTGGCTTGGCCGCAAACGGGGGGTGTCTCTGTATTTCAGCTGTGTTTTGTGCTGAGCATCCTGGGAAGCTCCCCTGTGCTGCTGCTCGATGAACCGTCTACAGGCCTGGACCCCACCAAGCAGCAGCAAATGTGGTGAGAATGACCCAACCGCCTGAGCTAACAGTGTTGCTGTTGTTGCTAGGGGCCACTGAGTCCGTTCTGACCACAGAGACTCCACGCACAACATCTCCATCCCACGCATCACCCTCATAATCCTTACGATCCATGAATGCATCTACAAACGGAGGTAACTCAAGTTAGTACGACCTCTCCTAGAAAGAGAAGTGATGCCATTCCCAGCATTTCGCGTGATGGTGTATTCCTTGCTCTGGGTACTGGAAAGTTGAGTTTGGGGTATATGGAGACACTTCAGCTTCATGGTAAGCAGTTTAAACCCTCACTATAAGAGATGCCACACTCACCTTATACTAGAGTGAAGATGGCCGCAGTAGAAAGGGGTGAAGGAAGCTAGAGGTAGATTTGATGAAACTTGAAGGATAGACCTGATGGGTGAAGGAGAAGGAGGGTCAAGAGTGAGACTTGGAGGACGAGGTTTGCTGGTCTGGTAGAGCCTGATGGAACCCCTGAGACTATGGCCCTTAGACGTCCTTTAGGTCTGGAATTGAACCCACACCTGTGGCTTCTAGCCAAACAAAAGACAGGCATATGAGCTGCACATTTACATTAGGCAGATACACTCACTGGAGAGAGCAATCATGGGAGAATAGAAGGGCTGTGTATGCACAGGGAGACAGCTCGGGGGTGGGAGTATATGGAGGGAAGGACACAGGGAAGAGGTAGCTATGGGGAGGAAGTGGGAGGGGAGCTGTTGCATTGTGGGGAATAGTAGTAAATGTCTTGAGACAAATTATATGTGAGCTGCTGTATGGAAAGTGAATTTGCTCTGCAAACTTTCACCCAAATCACAATAAAATTGTTTTAAAAAAAGGGATGCCACACTATTCAGCTAAATATACTAGTGCTTTTAAAAGCCTGGAGAAGACCAGAGGAGCGGTGTATTCTTTAATTCAATCAACATTTAACTATATCTAGCGTTGTGCCTTAGGCACTTGACTGCTAACCAGAAGGCTGACAGTTCAAACCCATCAGCCACTCCTCGAAAGGAAGGTTAGACAATCTACTTCCATAGTGATACTGCCTTGGAAACCCAAGGAGAGGTCACTATGAGTCGGGTCCAACTTGATGGCACATAACAACAACAACAACAACAACATATTGTGAAGGAAGTTGGTATTAAGAACCCACCAGCTGATCTGGAGGACAAAAGACCTGTTTACCGCCTCCCATAAAGATTTGCAGCCTTGGAAACTCCATGGGCAGTTCTAGTCTATCCTATAGGGTCACTATGAGTCAGAATCAACTGGGTGACAGCAACAACAGAGAGAATTGTTTATGAACTATCACCCAGTTTCTACAGTGATCAACGTATAGCCAATCTTCCATCTATACCCCACTCACTTCTTTTGTCCACCTCCCAATTATCTGGAAGCAAACCCCAGGCAGCATATCCTTTCATTTATAAATATTTCAGTTAGTATCTCCAAAAAAATCTTTCTTTCTTTCTTTTTTTTAAACTTAACCACAATGCCATTACCAAAACCAAACCAAACCCACTGACATTAAATGAGTTTTGACTCAAAGCAACCCAGTAGGACAGAGGTGACCTGCTCCTAGGGTTTCCAAGGCTGCAAATCTTCACAGAAGAAGACTGCTTCATCTTTCTCCTGCTGAGTGGCTGGTGGTTTCAAACCACTGATCTTTTGGTTAACAACTGAATGCTTTAACCATTGTGCTACCAGAGCTCTTTACAACGCAATTAGCACACCTAAAAATATTAAAAGCAATATTTAATGGTTTCCAGTATTTAGTTAGTAATTACATTTACCTGATTTTTTTGAACTAAGATCCAAATGAGATTCATAAACTATATTTTATCTATTAATTTTCCCCTCTATTTTTCTTCTTTCTTACAATTTTTTTTTTTGCTTTAAATACAAATTTGTTTAAATATAAAATACAATATTTTGTTTAAATAATCTCTTGATTCACTTCAGGCAGGAAATCCAGGCAGCTGTTAGAAACACCAAGAAGGGGGCTCTCCTGATCACGCATTCCCTGGACGAGGCCGAAGCCCTGTGTGACCGTGTGGCCATTATGGTGTCTGGGAGGCTCAGGTGGGCGTCTGTTCAGAGCCCACACTTGACCCATCAAAAAAGAGTTTCTCTGTAGAATGGGTGGGTCAGTGGCTGGAGCTCTGCTTTTCACCCTTTCAGTGGCACCTTTTTTCCTACATCTGAAATTTAAGAATAGCATTAAGAAATTAAGAGGCAATATACATATTTTTTTCCCAACACATTATCCTTCTTGCTCCCAGATGCATTGGGCCCATTGAACATCTGAAAAGCAAGTTTGGTAAGGATTACATTCTACAACTAAAAGTGAAGGAACCTTCTCAAGTGACATTGGTACACACGGAGATTCTGAGACTTTTCCCGCAGGCTGCTCGGCAGGAAAGGTAAAAAGAGCTTTTGATTATGTGAAAAAATGTAGGCTTGGCCCCCTCAGTGGTTCTTTTTGGTTCTGTGACAATGTCTAGGTAATTTGACTTCTTAGTGAAAGTTAGGGACCTCAAAAATGGATTTGTTGTCTCCCAGATCATAAGAATTGAGAGATGCCCAGTAAGTTGAATATAAGAATTACAAAGATGCAAATATTTCAGGTAAATCCCCCTCATAGAGAACAAATGACAGTTGGGATAATCAGTATATCACCCTTTAATGGTGTTTCTATGCCTCAAAGTGGAACCTAGAATGGTGTGTGTTTGTGTGTGTGTGCTATGGGGTGAGGGAAGGGAGGCAGAGAATGAATTTAAAACTCCTTGGTGGGAAGAACTCACCAAGAAGTTGGCCATAAGAACCGCTACTTTCATTTTAGCGTGGTATTATCATAATGGAATTATCTATAGTATAGTCTGGGGTGGGCAAGTCCTGTTCACAGAGCTTTGGTGTCACAAATCAGACAAGTGGTGGGAAGGTCAGGAGGTCTAAGTCTGGCGGAGCAGGGGCTGGTCTAAGGAGGCCCAGTCTCGGAAGCTTGAGCAGCCTGAGGGCCACCTGGGAACACCACACAGTCATGGAGAATGAGCAGAGAGTAGGGTACCAGGTTGTGCAGCCAGAAGTAGCACATAGAAACAAGATGCCAACAACCTCAGAAGCCAGGGAAGTTTAAGTTATAGCTTTCAAATGTCTCCTCCACTATTACTCTGGTAACGAACTGCTTAAGGCACTTGACTGCTAACCAGAAGGCTGGTGGTTCAAACCCACCAGCAACGCCTCGGAAGGAAGGTTGTGCAATCTACTTCCGTAGTGATACTGCCTCAGAAACCCAAGGAGGGATTGCTATAAGTCGGGTCCGACTCGACGGCACATAACAACAACAACAACAACTATTACATTCCTCTCTCAACCTCATCTCTTTCTTTCCACATTAGCTTTCTGAAAGGTGACAAGGATCAACTCTTAGGTTGGGATTAGTTCCCAACCTATTAGTTTGAACTAACCAAAGGGAATAGCTGAATATCTGAATTCAGTGAGCAACAGATTTGTATACACTGAGCATAAAAGTAATTTATTCCAGATTGTTACAAGAGCTTTGTTTAATAGCCAGCTGCCAAAAGTAATTTTTAAAATTTCCATTGATAAATGATTTTATTTATTTCCTATTTGAGCCACACATTGATTTGCATGACTATTAATTTTAGAATTAAATTGTTAATAATATCAGTATTTATTTTGATGGTCGTCTTCTACCCTTGAAACTCATGCTCGAATGTGACATTTTCCTGTTCTCAGATATCCCTCCTTCTTGACCTATAAACTCCCCATGGCAGATGTGTGTGGCCTATCTCAGGCCTTTCATAGACTAGAGGCAGGTAAGAATGATGGCATCTAAATAAATGTGAAGAATCACCTCATATGTAGATAATAGTTTAATGGGAGATAATTGTGTAATAAATAGTGAAAAATAATTAAAAATTTATAAAAGACCCTATGGTGGCACGATGTTAAGAATTATAAAGGCAGAAGCTGGTGGAACTTAACCCCAACCTTGGTTAATCCATCTCTCTGAAAAGAGGTTCATCTCTGTACAGGGATGGGATTCCCTGACCCAGCCTCAACAAATCCTTTAGTGCTGCCTGCTTTGCCTACATCTCCACAATCCATTTCTACCCCAAGTCTCCTGAATCACTCCTTCTTTCCTTTCATGTGCGTCTTCACCCCCTGGTTTTCTCTCTCAGCTAATTCCCTAGATTTATATTTCACTAGTAAAAGTGACAGAGAAATCTTCCATCCTTCCATGGAATCTCTGTCATTTCCTTGAGGAAATACGTATCTCCCAAGACATACACACTAAGTAACAAAATACTTATCATCCCACCAGTTATTTCAGCCCAGGATTCTTTTAATGTCAAGATTAATTTAATACGTGTTTATAGTAACGTTTTATGACTTTTCATTATTTTACCAATAATTTATTTATTCACCTTTATCTTCTATTGTTATTAGTGATTTACACTTTCACTTTGTACAACTGAAAAAATTCATGGTTAAACATCATACATGTCTAATACTAGCCCTTTTGGGTTTGTTTTTCTACAGTGAAATGTAACTTTAACCTGGATGAATACAGCCTTTCTCAATGCACACTGGAACAGGCGAGTCTGTCTTAATGGTTTTGCATCATCCCTGTAGATTTCACATACAAGTGTCATGCAATTTTCCTATTCACTGGGAAGGAAACCAACAGTTTGCTCACTCCTTTTCCTTCTTTGGCTCCTATCTAGGTATTCTTGGAGCTTTCCAAAGAGCAGGAACTGGGAAATTTGGATGAAGAAGTTGATACAACCATGAGATGGAGACTCCTCTCTCAGTCAGATGACCCATAAATCCTGGAGCTCAATGACTCTGTTGAAATCATGGAAACTTCTGTCATAAGTGATAATTAGCACTTGGTCTAATTTTAAAATTCATTCAATATCAGTACTAGATATACTTTACATATTCAGTTAAATGGATTCGTTTTCTAAACAGTTTTTCTCACAGATTTAGAGGACAGCCAAGCTGCAACAAAGGCAACACAAAGTACATATTAATCAAGGCACCTGGAGAACCAGGCCCTGGGTGTGTGGTAGAAGGAGAACTACAGAATTAGAATTTTTTGAAATACGATTTTCTTTTTTTACCATTAAAAATTCCCTTTGCTAAATACATGAGGGGGTATTCGGCAACCAGGAGCTGCATGGGCACTTCACGCCAGCTCATGAAGAATCCGGTTTATGGTTTTTCTTCTATGTATGAGTGCAACCCCAGATTCATCGATTGAAACCTTTCCAGCAATTGTTTTGGAGGCCTTTGGAGGTTGGAGGTTGGAGGTCTTTGGGCTCATAAATAAGCAGGCATATTCATTTGAAAACCAGTTCAGATATGCCATTTGAAAACAAGGAGAGTCACAGCAGTATTTGTTCAGATTTTTAAAGTTTTGAGTATGTCATATTAAGTTTTGTGATTGTGGGCGTTGCTCATTTCCCTCATTACCTCACCAATCATTTTCTGTGTATTTGCTGCTATTTTAAGGTCATTTTTCTTTTACATATGTTTGGGTGTGTGCATATATATATATGTAATATATATATACATGTTGTTGTTGTTATGTGCCGTCAAGTCGGACCCGACTCACAGCGACCCCTCCTTGGGTTTCCGAGGCGGTATCACTACGGAAGTAGACTGCCCCATTTTCCTTCCGAGGAGTGGCTGGTGGGTTTGAACCGCAAGCCTTCTGGTTAGCAGTCAAGTGCCTTAGGCACTATGCTACCAGAGCTCTCCACATCTATACATAGACATACATATATACATGTATATACACACACACATACATATGTGTGTACACACTCATCTTCTGTATTGATCAATTTTTAAAAAACCTGTGCTGGCTTTGTGTATTATTTTAGCTTTCCCTTAAATAATAGCTGTTTCATTATGAATATCACCAGGAAAATTTTTGAAGACCGAGCAATATCCCTGTTGCTTTTTCTTTTGTGATATGCTATTGAATGGCAACTTTGTGAAATACTTATTGAAGACAATTTGTATAAAAAGCAGAATAGAACTGAATAAAACTGAATAAAAAAGTCACAAGCTTACTATACCGAAAAAAAAAGCCCAACAAACTACACATGTGAACATTTCAAATATTTCCTTATTGCACTTTTTACATACTTGAAATCACATAGTATACCTAATTTTCTAATTAACTATATGCATATTTGCTGATATAACATTGAAATAGTTTCAGTTTGCAGTGTTGTAAGCTTGCAGCTTTAGATGTTTGTGTTTTATTGTGTTGATTATTTGAACCCTTTGTTCATTTCCTTTTGTGCTCTAGTCTTTTTTTATCCATGTTGTATATTTTGTCTCTATCTTGTTAGCAGTATTTTAAATAAATCTGAAAAGTTCTATTTCTAAATTTATCATAAGTAATCTACAGGAAACTTAATGCCCTATAAAAATGAATTCATATTTTAGTGAGAGTTGAATTCACCAAAAGTATTTCTAAAATTCAAGCAATAAACGTTTTTGTCTTTCTCTAATGTATAATTCCACTCAATGTATATAAACATTTGGTATTTCATATAACAATATATGAAATATCTGTTTATGCTCTTTATAAATTATACATTTTCTTAACTATTACAGAAGCTTGTTTAAAAATACTAATATTAGATGTAGCACAAATATCATTAAAATATTAAATGGACATTGTTCACTAAAACTATCACAATTTGGTAGTTTTTGAAGCTGTTAATTTTGGTTTTTATTAGGATTGTGTCCAAAGGCAGACAAATAGGTATGAAAAGAAAAACCCTACCCACTGCTATCGAGTCAATCTCTACTCAAAGCGACCCCATAGGACAGAGTAGAAATGCCCCATAGGGTTTCCGAGGCTGTAATCTTTATGGAAGCAGACTGCCTCATCTTTCTCCCATGGAGCGGCTGGTGGGTTCCAGCTACCCACCTTTGGTTAGAAGCTGATTGCTTTAACCACTGCACTACCAGAGCTCCTTGAAAAGTGAAGAAGATCATAACAAAACCAAGAGCAGATGTTATAGATTAAAAGGTGTCCCCTCAAAATAGGTATTGAAATCCTGGCCCTTATAGTTGTATATATTATTCTGCAGAGAAAGTATGAATTTCTTTGTTATGTTAACTAGGTCATATCAGAGTGGGGTGAATTCCAAATTTACTCACTTGTGAGTTATAAGACGATCAGAATGGACAATGAGACTCACAAAGGAAAAAGGAGAGAGATGAGGGAGACAGATGTATCTACAAGTACTGCTGGAAGCTACTAGAAACTGAAATAGACCAGGAAGTTCCCCACCCACCACCCACCACCCACCCCTGACTACAGCCACACTCTGTACTTAGATTTTGGATTTCGAGCTTCCTGAATTAATTTCTGTTCTTTAAAGCTACCCACTTGTGGTATTTGTGTTATGGCAACACTGTGCATACATTTAAACCAACTTCTAAGAACATCGGAGTAAAATTTCACACACCTGAGATTAAAGGGAAAAGTCTGAAAATATCCTAGAGAGTAAGACAAAATACTTCAAATTAAAGAGAATCAAAATTATGTCAGCACTCTTGTTAGCAACAAAACAACAAACAAATGCAACACACTACCGTTGAGTTGGATCCGACTCATAGCGACCCCTCCTTGGGTTTCCAAGGCAGTATCACTACGGAAGTAGATTGCCTAACCTTCCTTTGCAGGAGTGGCTGGTGAATTTAACCGCCAGCCTCCTGGTTAGCAGTCAAATGTTTTAGACACTATGCCACCAGAGCTCCTAACTCTATGAAAGAGGGCAGTAATACACTACTTTTAAAGTGAGGAATTTAGAATATTTTCAGTCTGGGTCAAAAAA